AGATCCTGGTATGCCAAAAAAGTGTGTGTGTGTGTTTTGGGGAGGGAGGAAGAAACCTTTTTTCTTTTTCTTTTTTTCTTTTCTTTTTTTGAGGTTTGAAGCATGAGCTTTTTCTACATAAACCTCTGCTCATTTACAGTTTATAATCAACAAGAAAGTCACTAAAATTGTGACAAACCCCCAAAATCAAGGAGATTTACATTTAAAGAACAGATCTGATAAATATGCTCAGTATACTGCAGAATAATATTATAGTAATCCTCTCAATCTTCCATAAATACATCTGTCTGCTAGTTCCTAGGTCTACTGCCATGTATCAGATACAGAGACCCAGATTCCTCAGGATGCCCCTTTTCAGGACTCACTATCTGTGTATTGTGAATGAGCTGCCTGCAAAATTTTGGTAAAAATAATTAAAAATAGGCTTGCATTCCGGGGAAGTAAAGAGCTTTTTCATAAAAATCCTTTCTTTTAACCTTTTCTCAGTTCTAAAACCATGAGCATGGTGTTGAAACACACGTTATTTAAAAATAATTCTGAAACAGTTTGTTCTAGTGCTGAGACAGCAAATGCTAAGTTTCACCCCAATTATAAATCCTTTAAATTTGGTTACGTAATTGAAAAAGAGATTTGTAATAGAATCACCAAAACATTTTTCAATACTGATAAATTTGCTCCTTTTGTCCCACAATCAAGAGACCTTACCATTTTAAAAAAAAATCAGTTTGTACGGTTTGGATTAAATAAATCTCCAGCCAATAAGCTAAATAGATAGGATGAATTGACTTGACTTTTGGCTGAACTTTCCTTCATCCATACACACACACATCACACTTTATCCAAACACAACTAATTATAGAGCATTCTGCTGATCTCATTTTTTCAAGGCAATTCGATATTTAAACAATTAAACAAGTTCAGAGGAAGAAGTATTTAAATAATTAACACCACAGCCAATAGTGCTCTATCACAGTTGAGAACGTTGTAAATAGAATATTTTGGAAGATGGTTGTGCACGTGATGGAAAACTTGGCCAACGATAAAAACAGATCTGAACTTAAATTGACATACCATTCAAGAGAATGCATTATTTAAATGTGTGCACTGTATTTTGTCAGAGCAATTGAACTTTATCACCAGCGAATTCAGTGGTTGTTGGAGGACAGCAGAAAGGTAATGTTAACATTTTAATATGCTTTTAAAGGGGAACCTGCATATGGTGTTAAAGGATAAATTAACTCTTTAATAGTTGTCTAGAATCCCACCGAGAAAGCTTTTTTGTATTTTTCCCATATTGTGAATAACTAGAGCACAATGGAGCAATGTTTTGTCTTCTCAATTGATTGAGGTTTCATTTAAGATATGTCTTGAGCCTTTATTCAGACAGCTATTTTACTTTTTAAACATAGTCCCTAACTTTCTGACTGTTACCTCCAAAGATTATATAAGCAGGGATTGCATATTGGCAGTATCCAAAAAGCTAGCACCCTTGACTGGTCTAATTGGGGGGGGTGGGGTGAAATCAGATGTCCCGTTTTTAAAGGGACAGTCCCGTTTTTGGGGACTTTTTCTTATATAGGCACCTATTACCCCCCACCCCTTGTCCCGTTTTTTTCACAGTTGCTATCTGGTCACCCTACTGATGGGTTTAGTATGGAACTGAGTAATCCTTCATTTTCTCAAGTAACAAACATGTCATCTTGGGAGTATTGCCCACTCGGAACAGAAGCTAGAATTCAAAATTCCTATCTCTTTTTGCTCTGTCATTGTCTCATTTTTTTTTAATGCTTAAAAAGTAACAGTGACAATAAATATGTAATATTTTAAATGAAAATGGCAGCATAAAGAGGTATATACTGAAATTTAAAGTTAGATCAGCACAAACTATTTAAATGAACATTTTATATGTTTAGGTGTTCGGCCTTATAAAAGGGAACAAAGTTGGACTCCTGGTTGATGTATCGGATATAAGTTGTGAACCTCGACTATTTGAGTTCCAGAAAGACCTTTTGGTAAATAATTCTGAAAGAGACTCTGACTCTTAAAGTAAGTTAAATAAGACTCTCCGAGTGCAGGGGAGAAAGTAAGTGTAATAATCATTTGCTTACATGTTACTCTAAGTATCAACAGTTAATTTGCTGGAGATGTATAAATTTACCTTAATCACTTTTTTAAAATATAAATTATTTGTTTAATATCCAGATTCAAAAATTTTAAGCATCTGCCACAATAATAAAAATTGAAGACCTGACTTCAAATATTAACCAGCCCCAGACATACGTGCTTCAAAAGCATTTGCTAGAGCAGCGGTTCTCAACCAGAGTTCCAGGGGCCCCTAGGGGGCCGCCAAGCAGGGCCAGTGTTAGACTTGCTGGGGCCAAGGTCAGAAGGCTAAAGCCTCGCAGTGTGGGGCTGAAGTCCAGGGCTCCCAGACCTGCCATCTGGAGCTGAAGCCAAATCCTGAGCAACTTAGCTTTGTGGGGACCCCCTGTGGCATGCGGCCCTGGGCAATTGCCCTGTTTCTTACCCCCTAATTCTGGCCCTAGCTTTTATATGCAGAAAAACAGTTGTTGTGACACTGGTGGACTGTGGAGTTTTTATACATGTTGAGGGGAAGTCTCAGAAAGAGAGAGGTTGAGAACCCCTGTGCTAGAGTAATGTACATAATAGAAAGAAATAGTTCATAGTACCTGAGAGCCAAGTTGTACAGGCAGTACTATGCCTATAAAGAATAGGATGCAGTTGCAGTAAAGTGTGCTTTTTGTTGGGTCAGGACCTTGCTGACTTGGTCTCTTCCCCAACTTCCAAAAGAAACAAAAGTGTGTTTTTCTGTTGTTCTTTATTTTTACAAAGTGTTTATAGTGAGGATTATTAAAGGTAGACACTATAATGTCACAATAACAATTCTATTTTCTGGTTTTGAAGCTTTCTCTGTACAATCTTTCTTCATATACCAGTGAAGGTTACTTAAAATTGATTGGCGCCTACCTCTTTGTTAATTCGTGCAGCATAAGTAAAGATACTTCAAGAAAATTGTTACTCTCCAGTTGACAAGGGCCTAGAATGCCCTAACTTAAGGGATAGCCCTAGAAGTGAAAGCTACTTTTATCTGACATCCTATCATAGCTGCTTCATTCTTTTTCAGTTGCTCATATGATCACAGCCCAATAGGTGAACATGTGCTTTCTGAATCAATATCATTTCTCTCTCATTTGCTTGCCTATTAAAGGGTGCTGATGGAATTGACACAGTATGTATTTTCCCCATTTAACCAACTGAATGGGAATACTATGTCAACATGGTGCACAAGGACTAGGTTAAGTTGCTGTATCTCAGTGAGCCACACTAAAACTAAATCTGTGTCACTTCAGTTCTGAACCTAGTTTTCCTCTATAGTTGCTCAGAATATTAGTCTGAAGTGACTTTAGCAAATCACAATTTTTTTTCTTGTATATGATAACTCCAGTGATAGCAGGGATATTAACTCTCTAACATTTTTTATTAAGTGTCTAATAGATGAACAGCTGTGTTATAAGAAGCAGTTATATTTCCTCTCCTTTGGTACTGAGATTTCATCTCTATGGGAGAATCCAACTAACGTCAATGTGCGCATGTAAGTATGTTTCCTAGCTTATAACAATGGGTTTTCAAACAGGGCCTCCTTTTAATTAGGAGCAGTTTTGTGCTCATAATGAATTGTAGCTGTAGTTTTGTGCCTTCAGTGATTTGCCAGAAAAAATACCGAAATAAATTGTGAGTACAATGCAAGTGAGTCTGCTCATTCATACAGGTAAATCACACAGGAGATCTTAGCCATCAACCAGGAGGTATGTGATCTTGATGCTGAATAAAAAAGGCCATATACTGCTTAAGTGTACAATAACTTTTTTTAATTTTGTCTTCCTAGCCTAGATGAAGCAAGACAGTGGGTGCAGGAGCTGCAACCCAGTGGAGGCTGCAATTTGCTGAAAGCTTTAAAGAAGGTCCTTACAATGAGGGAACTGAATTCATTGGTTCTTATTGTAGGAAGCTGGTAGGTCCACTATCTAAACTGGCAATAAACGTTAACTTGCATAAAGAATTAAATGCTTCAGACTTATACTTTCCACCTAATTGTAAATTAGGTTAGATTTTTATCTTTTAAAGAGACATTATTGACATCCCCCTTTCTTCAGTTCTTCCCTCATTTACATGTGTGCTATTTTTTCTATTTTAATCCTTATTACTTGCTAATCCTCTCTGTAACAATGTGAAAATAGTTTTCCTTTCCAAATTTGTCCTCTTGTTGATAAATAGAATGTCTAATGCTAGTATTGTGTCAATAAAAATTCATCAGCATCACTGAGGATTTCAGTGGGAATGTGCATGGCTCTGGAATTGCTCGTTGACCTCTGTAAAGTAGCATTGTGTGTTCATACTAATCTGCTTTCTGTGATCATGAGCAATGGAGCTGATGGAATGGTTTAAAAAATAGAATCCATAATGCTTTGGCCAGCAGCCAGTGTTGAGCTGACACAAATTTTGGACTTAAATTCTGCAGTCTATGGTGTCCATTTTAAAGTTTGCATAATTTAAATGAATGAGTGCAAGAAAAGGATAATATATAAAGGACTCTGGTGAGTGCATAGGTAACCAATATGGACTAATTCCATTATATTTACTTATTAAATTTATTTTAAAGGTTCATTGAGGAGACTGTTGGCTTTGCTAAAGTGATATTTGGGGTAGTCAGGATCCAAATTCCATTTTAACTGAACCACCAACACTTAGGAGATTCAAAGAAAGGTTTCCAGATTTGGCTCAGGTCTGATTTATTATGGTTTTACAGTAGTCCCACAACAGCAGAGAAGGGGTTAAGGAGAACTTCTGGGCCCAGCTAGCGCCACCCTGCTATGCCTGCAGCCAGTGCCGAGCCTGGAGGGGAGTTAAAAGGAGGGATCCTGGCTCAATTCAGGCCTGATTGGCCAGGAAGGAAGATGGAGCTCTCTGCCTGAAGGGAGTTTTGCCTGCAGAGTTGCATAGAGTTTGCCTGCTAATCGGAGCAGCAGTGGGAGAAGTTAGACTCTAGGGAGCGAACCACACACGAGTAAGGGACTGTTTGGCAACCAAACCCAAAGGAAAGGGCCTGGACACCCCATGGGAAGAATGGTGGATGGCCCAATGTTGAGTTGGATTTGCTTTTTGTTTAAGAACATTTTGGAACTAAACCTCTCCCACCCACCCACTCCCCACCCCAGAAGGGGATAGGACTGAAGGGACAATTTGCCAGTAGGGTTACCATACCTCCGGATTTTCCTGGACATGTCCGGCTTTTTGGTCCTCAAATCCCCGTCCGGGGGGAATTGGCAAAAAACCGAACATGTCCGGGAAAATACTCCCAGCTTTGTTTTGCCGGCATCCCTGCCCCAGTCCCCTGCTTACCTTAGAGCGGCTCCGGCAGGCTGCGAGCTGCAGGCGGATTCCCCCGCGGCGGCAGCGGCGGCTGCTCCCCCCAGACACCTCGGCTCTGTGTAGCTGAAGACCCGAGCTGCCCGAGCGCTACCGGCTTCACAGTTTGCCGGGCAGCCTCCAGATCCTGCGCCCCCGGCCGAGCGCTTCCC